GGCCGCACTCTCCCCTGGCGCAGCAGATGCATCCGAGGGTCCCGACCAAAAAAGCGGCCGAAACCATTGAGCACATCTTCCTACAGTGCCCGAACGCCGCCCTCACCTGGCGCTGGTGGGACCGGATCTGGCAGCACATAGTCCCTGGATCCCTCTGGCCATGGGACTGGCGGGCCATCCTAACAGGCTATTGGCCGGGACGGCCCGAAGAGGAATTTGCGAATAATATGTTTGACCTCGGGAGACGAACAATCTTATGGACACTGTGGTGGCAAAGATGTGTTTTGACAATGGAAGAAGTACGATTGGAGGGGGAGGAGGTGCGCGAGCATATCAAAAATCAACTCCAGTTGGACATAACTGATAGATGGCAGAGAGTAAAACGCAAGCTAGACCTCTTTCAGCAACCAAAAGACATTAAAGAAAGCATCACTAAATTCTGCCAAGAATGATTGGGGGGGGAAAGAGAAGGCTGGATTGCGCAGGTGAGATGGTCAGGGGATGCGGACGAGGGCCTTCAGGGGGAGGGAGAGATGGTAAGAAGGGATTACTGCCTGAAATTTAAGGAATGGACTGACATTGACCCGAGCTTCCCAATGAGGCCAGCTTCCGATTTCCCGGACCCCTTCCCCCCACACCCTTTATCCCTAGTAGAATTAACTAGGTCATGTCTCTGTTTTGGAGGCTGGTTTTTGTGGGGTTGCATTTTAATAGAATGGGCAGAGGTTATCTTTACGGGGCAAACAGAGCAGCAAGGTTGGCGGGCAAGCAGGGAAACGGAAGGAACTCACTGGTGCCCCCCAGTGGTTCTGACTGGGCCCCTGCTACAGCCCTGTTTTTAGGATAGACCAGGATGGGACGCTGGACCCGGTTTCCAGCATCGGTGCTCTATCTCGTCCAAGTTGTTTGCAGCAGTGTTTTCATGTAAGGGACGCTGGACCCGGTTTCCAGCAGGTGCAGCTCCCCACCAATCGATGGAGCAAAAAAAAATAAAAAATAAAAAAGAATTTGAAACTGTTAAAAAAAATAATAATAAAAAATCAGGTAAGAAAGGTTCTCCAGCCAAGAAGAGCCCCGACCACCTTGTTCGACACCTCTGTAAGGGGCGTTGGGCCCTATTCCCAGCATATAACAAAAACAGTATGGTTCGGAAAAGAAAAAAAATGGCCAAGATAGGTATTGTATACTGCCCCGGTCATTTCAGTGCTATTACCTTTGCAAATAGTTCATGGACGCAGTGCCCAATGGTGCACTGGGTGGGTCAAAATAGTGGGTGTGTAGAGTGGGTTTTATGACTGTGTCAGGCTACCCGGTGAATCTTCACCCGAATAGAACGTCCGGTCATTATAGCTGTATGTGGACTGAAAATTGCACCAAATACGCCTATAATGACTGGCCGTTCTATTCTGGCCACGACGGTAGTTTCTCAGACTTACTGCCATCCTTGTCAGGGGTTTGAACCGACAGTCTGCTAGGATTGCAGGGTTGGTGTGAGTAAAGTCGACCACTTTTCTCAGGGGCATGGCTAACTCTGGCGATGTGGTGAGTCTTTATCCATCAGTCAATTGCATCCTGGCAGACTGTTGTGGGGGTTCAACCTCCTGATGAGTCCGTGAAAGTCTGACGAAACACTCTGGCACAGTCATGCCTTTTTTTTTNTTTTAATGCGTGTCATCCTTGTGCAGGGGCCATGCTAATCTTCTTTGTATCGTTCCAATTTTAACGGATGTCCCGAGGGACGCCATGCTTTTTTTTTTTTTTTTTTTTCCCCCTAATCCATCATATCATTGAATAACAACAAGAAGAGGCCGGGGACCTCACAATTCAACCCGGGATATGTGACAGCATCAGCCAGCTTAGCTTACAGGCTAGAGCCTGCGGGACTCACCTCTGTCAGTCCCAACTCCTATTGTAGGGCTATTCTTTGACTCAGCAACTTGCAGCTCTAACTAGTGAACATATCTGTGGAAAAACCTGTGAGACCATCTGCCCCTACTTCCACTTACAGCGGTTTTTCGGTAACTTCCTGAAGCTGGAGATAGCCTAAGTCTGGGACTAACACGGCCCAGACGACAGAGTCCGGGTCCTACCCAGGCACTCCCCTAGCAGCCTACAGCGGCCCTGATAACCGAGTGCCCTGGTTGTATCTGTGCCTACAGCTACTGCTACCCTTTCAACCAAATTTTAGTCCCCCACTGAGCCATCTGCCTCTGCAACCCATTTGGACATCACCAGGCCTTTGCTTGGGTGAATCTCGGCCAGCTGGTGGTTTGCTGTCCATGTATGCGAGAACGAACGGATCTGTCTCTTGCCTCCTCTGCCCGCCTTAGCTCTCCTTCTCCAGTCCACACGAATGGCTTGCCTCAGTCCCTTCTTGAATGCTCCCTTGATCTCCTTGTCCGAAAGTGGTTTCTTTTGAAATCTAGATCTGTTGCGGTCTGCCCAGATGATCTGACAGATAAGACCTCTCACCACATGCGCTACATAGCCCCAACCTCTGCTCCCTGACGTGTGCTCAGGGAGAAAACCCAGCAGCACCCATTCCTCGTTCCAGTCCACCCCATTCCCTCCAAACTCTTTCCAGTGGGTGTTCCACCACCGCCATGCTTTTCTTGAGTGTATAGCAGATGTAACAACACACGTACAAAAAGAAAAAGAAAAAGAAAAATTGTCACATGTGGCAGTGCCACGTGTCACTATTCCGAGCCCTCCCTCCCCAAGCACCTTTTCCCCCCACTTCCCCCTTACCATACCCACCTTTCCCCTCTCTCTCTCTCTCTCTCTCTCTCTCTCTCTCTCTCTCTCTCTCTCTCTCTCTCTCTCTCTCTCTC